GCACAGAGTCAAAGCTGATAGAGTCTACATTTCTAATCCACTATTTTTTTTTTTTGCAGGAAATGCTATTATAATTTATTATTTATACACTCTATTTCTTAAAAAGTGGGCTCCAATGCCATATTGCTTGGGTACACATTAAAAAAAAAGATGAGAGAACTGGCTGTACAGTGACCTTTATCTTAATACAATATTACCAGAATACTGGAGAATTTAGTTTTCAAAGAAGAGTAAAGAGAAATGTAGTTTCAAAGCTTGCATCAGTACATGAAAAAAATCCACACATTTACAAAAACCAGTATTCCCTCCATCAGATAGTACATGTAGATCAGTCTACATTTGAATTTGCTAATCAGGAGAGGTTGAAGTGTGGTGTATGCCTAGCAGCTCCATGGGGTGAGGCAGCACAGCTAAAACACTGAGTGGTCATTGCAGCATTTGGATGGCAGCAGCATCCAAGATCGGCCTTGGTTGGGAAGACGCTGGGAGAGAGAAGAGACAGCAGACGCAGGCTGGAAATGGGTGCTCCGTTAGACCACAGCGTGTGTCATGTTCAGCTACCTGAAGAGCACTCTTCATCTGAAATTTGAGTGACTGGCACGTAAACAGAAACTAAACCATTTTAAAGGCATTCTAACTACCTGATTTTTCTATATGTCCAATTATAAGCTGACCCATTATGTCACTGACAGAAAAATATACTGAATGGTTGTGGCTCAGTGTGCTGCAGGTTGGGAATAGAGGAGGAACAGAACACACTGTTCTTGGTCTCCCAGGGTTCAGTCTGGTGGAAGAAACGGGTGGCTTCCAGTGGAAGACCATGGCAGTTTTGTGTTGTATGTATGATTATAGTGCTACAGAAGCTCAAGGGGGTGAAGCACTTAGATTTGGCTGCAAGGCTGCCTGAATTGTAAGCCTAGATTTTTTCCTTTCTATCTGTATTGATATTGGGAAGTTATGTGCTGATGACTTTTTTTCTTATCTGTAAAACAGTGTTAATGAAAGTATCAATCTCATAGTGTTATTATGAAATGCTTGTGTAATAATACGCGTAAATCTCTTAACAGTGTCTGACAATAATTACTGCTCTTTGTTATATAGGAGGGCCCAGCATGAGGTGAGAACACATGAAAGAGGGACTCAGTCCAGAAGGGATTGGGGGGACCTGGGGGGAGGATTAGTTGAGATGAGATTTGAATGGAATGTTAAATAGTCTAGTAGGAATTACACAGGCGAGTCAGCTCAGAAGTGTCCCACATGATGAGAAAGTATCTGCAAACACACAGAAAAAAGAACTCCCAGGAAGTCTGGAGAATTTGGAGAGGTCAGTGAGTAGACTCTAGACTACGTTTGGGAATTGATCAGTTATCCTGAAAGCAGTTTTAAATGTCTCTATCTTCATGCATGTGGGTCATCTCAGCCTATTTTTTTTTTTTAATACCCTTTCTACCACCGTTCATTTTTTTTTACCTCTTTTTAATTCTTGGAGACAAAATAATCTTTGAAAAAAATCCTATTTAAGTCATCTCTATGTGCACCAATTAGTATTTTATTCCCTGTTATTATTCAGGAAGTAAAATAAATTAAATATACTATTAAATATTTTGGCTCAGTAGTCTAGTTTTTTCCACCCAGAGTCTGTCTATATGCATCCACGTTTACCTTTCTCTTGTTTGGGCAGCTTTTTAGCGAGGCCCATGTTTGCCATGTTAGCCTCCCTCCTCTCCACAGGTTTCATTCATCCTCATCTCTGACTTGACCCCATCAATTGCCTCTTTGGAATTTTATTATTATTATTTATTATTATTATTATTGTTTTGACAGTGCCTTGCTATGTAGTCTAGGCTGTCTTTGAGCTCCTGCCTGTCTGAGATCCTCCTACCTCAGCCTCCCAAGCATTAGGATTACCAAGGTGGGCCACCATGCCTGATTTCTTTGAAATTTTAATCTCCTCAGATTCAATTTAATTATTTCTTAAAGAACAGTCTTAATACTGACCTTAAAAGGATCAAAGTCCCTTTGACTAAGCTTCATACTCTGTTGATAAGTTTCTGACATACAATACCTTGGGAATTATATGAGGACTTTGTAGTCATTTACATAATTTTTTGGTTTTTTTGAGACTAAGTCTCTCTGTGTAGTTCAGATTGGGTTTGAACTACTGCAGTCCTCTTGCCTCAGGCTCCCAAGTGCTGGGATTACATGCATGTGCTATCACACCATGATAGGTATTTAATTTTTTACTTTTTTTTCCTCTTACTCTCTGTATATCAATCATGCCTTCCTCATCAGCAGATACTTTGATGTCTAGATATCCTACTCTCTAATTAAGCATATCTGCAGTATTGACTGTCATAAATAGTCCAATAAATGCTTAGTGGATAAATGTAAGTAAAGAATATCTCACATTACAACCTTATAAAAAACATATCAAGATTTTTATATGAAAGTTCCATAGCTTTTAAAAATTTGGTTACTTTATTACTACAAGTAGAACGGCAAGAGAACCAACACTGTGGCTGATATTTACTTAGAGTTACATAGTTCACGTGGACAAGTAGAGCATTTTTTAGGTATTAGAATTACCTCATTTGAAAGGCTTTTAAATTGAAGTTCCAATATAAAATATAGGAAAAACCATAGAAGAATTTAAAACATACAGTAAATTATGGAGTATTACAGTTTAGAAGAGGGCCACCATGTATTCAGTATGTGTTATGTGTCAGCCATCACAACATTACTAACCTCACATAAATTATATTTCATTACATATTTTTAGTATTTTCTCCCAATGAAAGTGAATGTTATTTTGGGCCACTTCATAGTCAATACTGCTGTGGATCCATCCAAAAATATTACAGCCCAGTAGTGAATTTGGGATTTGAATTCAAGTGAATCTGATCTTACAACCAAACTGCTTTGTGAAGTTGAACAGATTTTCTTAGCTGAAAAGGTAGTATTTAGGAATGGATTAAAAACTTGATAGGTTTTGATAAGTGATTTAAACTTTCTTGTACTTAGCTCTTCATTATTGCAAGTTTTTCCTAGAAACTGCTAATGCCCTTTATGACTAAATTCTTTTTTAAAATGGTATTTATAGTTTGTCTAACTTCACATGTTTAAAAGCCTTATGCCACTGAGTCAGGTGGAAAATCTGTATACACCAAGGGTTGTATATTAGCAATGGATATAATAGGGGTTAGATTATAGTAGGTATATGCTTAGTAGAAGAGCAAGGAATATCACCTTTTTGTTTATGTATCTTTGCAGTGTTTGACATATAAGATAGTTATCACCCTTGTAGTGAATTAAATCTAGTCAGTGGGAGGAAAACTATAGTATTTCTAATGTTGAGTTAACTAAGTTCATAGAATCAGAACATTTCTTTTCTTTATTCAATACAGATTACTAAGTAATATAAATCTCAGTGTTTCCACAATATCTTCCTTGCGTTCTACTCTGTTTATATTATGCATGTTAGAAAAAAGAGTGACACAAATTCTAGACATGGTTCTACAAACCATGATGTGTTTAGTACCTGTATTCATTTTCACTGACCAGAAAGTAAAATGAAAGTAAATACAGGTACTAAAGAAAACAAAAGTAGTTAATATTAAATTATATCAAATATTTTAGGGACCATAAAGCTATTAGTAAAAACAATAGTATCCTTTTGACTACTATTTGGTAACAATAATGATAATAATACTCACCTCTCTGGCTTTTTACTGTTTAATATCGTGCAACAAAATTTTATAGTACATGAGAAATAAAAGTCTAAAATAACATTTGTATATAAGAAAGTTGATGTAGTAAATATAGTTCAAATTTCTCTTATGTTCCAAGAAATCTAGTTATAATGAAGAGATATTCCTGGGTAAATTAAAACTGGTTTGAACCCATAGCCAGAATGAATTGAATGCAATAAAATGCCCATACATAGAGAACTTTAATGATGACCAATTAAGACCTTTTTTAACATCTCTAGACATCTGGTACGATTTTGACTCTTGTGGAAAGAAAAATTGAATCATTGCTAATAACTGACATTCTTCTCTCTCAAACATGAAAGTCACATCAAAAACTAGCTACAATTTCTTTCTATTTATGTGTTGCTGAGAACCTTGTCACAGATGAAATGAAAACCTCTTCTATCAATCCATCAGCATGACAGATTCTCCCAGGCTCTCACTGCCTTCACAATTAAAGAGGATATTTTGATGTATTAATTCATGCCCTCAGGATTCATATCTGGTTTGTAGGTCATTCTAAATTAAAACTAGCCATTGGAGAGAAGAGAATCCAAGAACAGGTAAAATGAATTCCAAGTTACTTGAAAATTGACACAACAATTAAAAAAAAAAAAAAAACAAACTAAGGAATACGTGAGAAAAAATTAGTCCCTTTTAAGAGAATTTGATAAAACTTCAGTTCTTTGTGAAATCACCTAAGTCAAAAGCCAGATGGGCAGAATAGAATGGGGACTGTGCTGTAAAAGTAAGTTCAATTCTTTCTTTTATTGTGAAGATCACAGCTTAGGAGTGTGTCTCTATAGTACTTATATTTTTACACACTAAACAATTACTGCAAAACTGTAGTTAAATGGCTCCAAATACAGTCTAACAGCCACAAAGAGACCAAAACTAAAAAAAAACTTGAAAACTAATTTAATAGACATAACCTATAAGCAAAAATATTTCTTACTACAAATAGTTTTTAATACCATAGAAGAAATATTTAGGAGCAAAAAATAAAATACATTGATTTAAGAATGTCCAAAGTATTTCTGAAGGAAAAAAGTTATTGTGAAATTCTACAAATACTGATGAACAAACTGGTTGGCCATTTATCAACCATGGAACTACTTACACTGACTAGAATTATATTGTAAATTAGAGAAATGTTAAAAATATATTTCCAAATTTGACTTTAATGCAGCAGTACCGAAGCATGTGATGTCAAAAAGTTAATATTCAATAAATATAAAGGGTAACTCATACCTTAAATTCCTCCAAGATTTTGTAATTTTTCCCATGATATTCACAAAAGTTTTTCACTTCTTTGCACTCAGGACAGCATCCATTGTGTTCCACTTTAGTACACTTCGGGTGGATTTTGGGGCATTCTGGCTGGTCACAAACAGGTCCATCTAGAGCACAGACACAGGGACAGTTGGAATGCCCAGGGAAAAACCGTTCTCCCAACTTGTATACAAAGCCGCTGTCATCCACACACCCTTTCCCTCGATAGTCATCAAAGATCAAATTGTCATTACTGGAGGTCTGGTCACCTTCATCAGCAGGATAGTCTTCATGACTGATGGCGGCAGAGGAGACCAATCCAGGGATGACCAATAGAAGTATGCAAGCTTCATGAATATGAAGAGCCATCCCCCTCCTCAAAGGCTTCTGGATGTGCTCCTAATATTAAATATATTCAGCTCCTTCCATGGGAATACAAGAAGGGTAGGCTGAAAATAAATATTCAAAGAAACAATTTGACATATACAAAGAGAATAGAGATTCATTTAAACCCAGGCTGTTAAATTATTTGGGTTCAATTTGGAAGCTACTAAGACAATAAATGGACTAAATTCATGCAACTATCTATACTTTATTGTGAAATTTGGAAAATGGATTCTTGGCAGTATATGCATTAAAATTTGTCCACTTTGGAGTCATTATACATAGGGACCTCTACCCTTATATTTCGAATTTGAAGGATCTGACTCGGTCTAAATTTTAAGAAGTCATTTTTCTGAGTCAAAAAGGATGATTAGAAGTAGTTACTGAGAGACAGTTCATTAATATTTGGATTCATAGCCTCTATTTTTCTTTAAATTAGAGTAGTGAGTGATGATTATATGTTATCATCATTTGTATCACAACTCAAGAGATCTGTGAGAAAAATCGTTTCTAAAAGAAAGGGAATGTCAACATTCCAATGTAAATTCTAAATGAGAGGAACCAGTATAAAATCTTTCTTACTTATTTATGCCCATAATTGGAGAAAGACAATAGTCTCAATACAAATGACTTGTTTCTGTCAACAAGGATCTGGAGTTTGGAACCTAACAAATAATAAAGAGCATAGATATGCCACCATGAAGAAGAGAAGCAAGATTTAAAGTAATGCAAAGTAACTTTCTCTATTTAAAAGGATTTATCAAAAATCACTAATTTTTCCTGTTGTCTACATCTATATTTTACTCAGGAGGTAAGCTCCTAGTGGGCAGGAAGGATATATCTATGAATTATTAATGGACACTTGAATGTAGTGTTCATGTATTATTATTTGAATTAATCATTTCTATATAAGTACTGTTCACACAGTTTTAATAACATAACTTTTTTGATATGCCAAAAGTATCATCTTTAGTTAGGCAAAGATATTTGTGCAGAGATATCATAATAAAACTGTCTATGGAAGTTCCTTAAAATATTGATAAAGTATTGTTTTCATGGAAAACATGCCTTTTTACTTGGGCTACATTGATTCCTGTAACTTCATGTGTTATTAGTACTTAGTGTGAAGTGTTAGTAGCAGGCTCTTATTTAAATGCTTAGAGTAAGCCACACAAAGCCTCTGGGGAAATTGACTTCAGGGAGTAGTCAACAAAAAGTGTTATGAATTATCTCATTTGTCTGTTTGAATTTATTAACTTTATGTCAATATCCCTAACATTGTACATAGGATATTTTCAGATATGTAAGTGTCACTGATTGGTTTATTTTCAGATTATACTGAAAATAATGATAAACTATCTTATTTTAGTCTCACATACAGAGATGATCACTTCAGGAAGATGAAGATGCCACTAGAAAACTTCATAAACTGTTACCTTATATTTGTATTTTAAGTTGGTATGCTAATTCTAGTAATAGTAAAATGGATGGTAGCACATTCACGTCCTCTTTTCAGAGAAATCTGATATTAGAATTCCTCTATCATTCTCTACTACTAGAATTCCTTTTGGCTAGATAATGATAAAGTAGACGGATTTCTCTCAAAATATGTTAAAAATAATGAGTCATGATCGAACAAGAAAATGCAAACCTGTAATTCTACTCGAGAAGCTGGAAGCTCCCTTTGACAAAGCATCTTTTTCTGCCTAAATTACTAGAGAGGCCACTAACATAATAAAAGCTTCTGAAAAAACAAACATATTTTGCTAATAAAGTAGGCAATCACACACCTCTCACATATTTAGAAAGTTTATCATGGAAGGAAAGGAAGCCACTGTGCTTCCGTATAGTATTCTAGTAGTATCTGTCAGTGCATCCAAGATAAGCCATATAAAATACACATATGATTCTGCTTCAGAGGACACAGACAGAAAATGATCTCTTTGTGAGCCACAGGTAGGCATTAACATGTAGATTATGATAAAGGTAAACTTAAAGGTAGAAATAGGGGTGTGATACTCTATGTAAGCATTAAACATGCTTTTATTATACAAAATACATTTTAAAGTTCACATGAAGAAAACAAGAATTTCTTTTTAATATAATAAAGTTCTTAGGGCATTTTTTATAAAGCTTTCTTCATACTGTGCTTCTGGATAGCAATTTAAGACACTATGTAAGAAAATAAATAGAAAGCAAATAATATGTTATATGAAGATTTTTAATACTGTTGAACTGAAGCTCACTTCGTGGCTAAACTTTCCCCCTCCTCCCCATATTAGTATATATGATTTAAAATGACTGCATCTATTTCTTTGAGAAAACAAACATAACTCATATCAAAAGATACACTTACCTTATCACTCTGGAGGTTAATGGTGGTGGTGGTGGGGTCACAGACCAATATGAACTAAAAGGTCAGGTATGTTTTAGAGAAGCAGGTCCTCTTTAATCAGCCAAAGAATACATTTTCAGGCATGAATTACAGGCAATCCATTCTCTTTACCTCCCATTTCAAAACACAGTCAAGAAGCAGTCTCCCACCCTTCCAGAGAGAAACACGGCAGATACACATAAGAAATATGCTTTGGACCTGTCTTCAGAATTCAACGCAAGAAGCAATTCTGGTCCTGTAGAAATCCAGACTCCAGTAGCAGAATCATGTTGAACTTATTTTTAGAATTTTCTTAAATCCTTCTATGAAATTTCCTGGCTGATTACACCTCCTCCACACATGAGTTCACTTACACGGTGTTTGCTACGGCAGTAGAGGTGATTTGGCTAGGATGAGAGGATCACAAACAGCAACAGCACACGGAAGCCTAAAGCCCGCTCCGCCGGCAATACCATCAGCATCGTCCACAGTATGTTGCTTGAATCCCTTCTCACACACGAGAAAATGCTAACTGTGGAGATGCAGGAGAAGAGCAACTTTAGCTGGGATTCTGCACCACTGAGAGCAGTTTGGAGACTGCTGATGTGGAGCTCATTCTGCCGGCAGCCGGGAATTCCTCAGCACCACGGACAGCGCCAACAACTGGCTCCTGAGCCCAGCCCGGTCGATATCCCCTCACTGCTTCTTTAGACCAGGCTAGAGTGTTCTCCTGACAGTCGCGCTTTACACAGCAGATGCGTGCATTAGGAGAGAAGGCATTCTACGCGAGAGACACTTATTTGCATTGAAATTACAATCAGAAATTTAAAAAATTGTAATTATACCTAATGCATTCTTGGATGGGCTGCAGAGATGAAAGTTCCGGAAGAGACTTGAATTTAGATTTAAGCCATCTGCAGTCCTTGATTATTATTGATAGATAAAGCATAATCATTGTCAAAGAACCTGTGAAGATGTATGCTCGCCGATTCTGTTTGACCCTTTGGTTGCAGAAAGACTTTCTCTCTGCTACATGATTAAACTTCGGGTCTCCTGCAGTTGGATTTGATTCAAAGAAAAAAAAAAAAAAGTAGACGCGTTTTCCTGCAGTTTGTTCTCTAACATTAAAAATCAATCTCCTGTAATTCATCTAGTCTGTCATTAGGCGTCATTGTAAAGCTGTTTCTTCCAAACCTCTAGCAAAGATGCTGTCTCTAAATTCGTATAAAAAATGAGAGAGCAAAAAAGACCCAGACACAAATAAAAGGTAAAAAGTTATTTTTTTATTGGTAACAGTAGGAACACTGAAATGTATACCCTAAGCATGTTTTTAAAGCAAACTGTAAATGTTACCTACTGGCGTGTTTAACCAGTTATTTACTGGATTGGAACTACACGACGTATTTAAAGGGAATGCCCTCCGCAGGGGGATGTGCTCCTGTCTGAGGGTGAAGACCACACTCGAACGGTGCCGTCAGCGCCTCCGGAAAACAGACTCTCTCCATCGTGAGAAAACACGACCGTGTGTGCCTCGCTCTGGTGGCCCACCAAAATGTGAATCTTGCCAGATTTAAGATCTAGCAAATGAATCACTCCAGTGCTACTCGCCTGAGCTAAAACTCGACCTGAGAGATGAGCGAGAGAGAGAGAGAGAGAGAGAGAGAATATCAAAGTTTTATTTCAAGCATTCATTACAAGCAGTATAACATTGTTTGGTTTCACTTGTGATCCAACATTCTCATTTTATGTTAGATGTTAGTCATTAAATACATTAAATATGAACTAGCTCATTCCTGTTCATATAAAAATAATTTAAGTCAAAATCAACACACCTCATTGATTAAATTATAAAATTTTAGAATGGGAGGATAAAGCCTAATTTCTACATCCTTTCTATGTAGAGGTCATCAAATGCCCTGCCATTCTACCTATATTTATGATTTATAAATAACTTTGAGAAGATGAAATTGAAAGAAAGAAAGTAAGGAAATTCCTTCTTCAAATTAATATGCAAAAAGTTTCAAAGGCATAGTTTTTAAGATTCAGCTATAAAAAACTATATTGATATAAATCATATATAATTTATATTTTAAAATTTGTATTCTTTAGACTTATCATAATTATGGTATCATTATTTAAAATTCTAATAATATACAATTCTGCTGTAAAAATCGTAATGCTCATGAACTCAAATTTTCTTTGGAGTTGCAAAAATAAACTATATCCATTTCAAAATGATGTGGCACACTTTTTTTGAAGACAGGGTTCTACTCTGTAGTTCAGGCTGGCCTTGAACTCATTATATAGTCCAGACTTGCCTCAAACTTGTGGCAAAAATCCTGACTCAGCTTTCCAAGTGCTGGGATTACAGACATGCACCATCACACCTGGCATGGTGTGCGCTTTTTTATTCTAACTTAAAATTCAAAATTAAACTAAATTTTTATTATATAAGATAGATAAGTATAGTGCAGGGTGTTCTCATAATTTTCATATCCTCTATTATTTTAGTGAATCAGTTCTTCAAAGAGAAAACAAATTAAAACTCCAATTTAATTCATAACCTGTATTTTAAAAGTCCAGTAATAAATTATCAGAGGACTTAGAAACAAATAAAACCAATAGAATGTTT